TATAGTTAAAATCGTAAGCAAAATGCATCCATACATAAGTATGATATATAGTATATACCCGATCGTAATAATATTCATTCAATATTAACTTTGACTGATTTTACAGAGTATCTTTGCAGTTGGACTTTACAGTTTGTTCGAGTTGATTCTTGATTCTCGGGCCTCTGGTCATGCTTAAGCTCTTGGCGCTAGGCAGAGACGTGGCCACGTGCGTCTTTCTGGCTATTTATACGCCCGCAACAAGTGAAGTGGTCCCCCCACCCATAAAGCACACTCATAAATTTGTTATGGGCAGCAACAATGTTGCTGATCGACGGGGATCAGAATCCACGGCTACGGCTACGGTTGCTGCTTCGGCTACAGCTTCGTCAGTTTAGGTTGATTTTCAAATACCGTTACAGTTGTTGCACCGAGCTCGCAGGGGTAACGAGATTGCGCCCCCCAATAAATGCATAAATGTGAATAACAACGTTGATTAACCTTAAGCAGGCAGCTGCCTCAACGAATGCAATTTGTTTCAAGGGTTTTTCAGGTTCAGCAGGTCTCGGCCTCTGCAGCGTTCCCTCTGCGTGGTTTGTTTAATCGTTTTTTAAAAGCTGCCAACGATTCGATTTGGTTTCTTCTTCTTCGTGCTGCTGTTTTTTTTTGTTTTCTTTTTTCATTAATGCATTTCTAATATAATCCAGAGGCAAATGCTTTGCGTCATCGCCTTCACGCCCAGCGAGCGTGGAAGTCCCCCCAAAAAACGTATATGAAAATCCATTTTCAACTCTTTTATTTTCCATTTTCCACAACACACCCACAAAAAAATGATGTTTTGGTAGCATTTTAATTAGCTTCTGCATTTCGATTACATCAGTTTTTGATTAATTAAAGTGCATGTAATGCCTAAGGGTTGTGTGAATGAGAACAGGTAGCTCTTAGGGTCCTGCAGGTATGCCAGGAGTCAACAGGATCAGTTGCCAGGGTTGTCAGGCTGATCCATTTAGACTGTCAGCTGGCGGCATCTATGACACATTCCCATTTCGGTTGCATTCCAATTGGATGTAATGGGAGTCGGTGGTGTTTGCTGCAGCGCCATCTAGCGTTTGATTTGCCCAGCAATGAGAATGTTGTAAATCCAATTGGTAATTGGTTGAGGAAAATGTGGAGAAGGGCTATGAAGTGGCAAAGAAATTAGAAAGCTTGAAGTAAATTAATGAATTTGGTTTAAATATAGTTGAAAGGATGTATGAGACTAAGGGTCAGAAGAGGTGTTTGCATATGGCTTTAATATAGATCAAGGACATATACGTACTTATGCATATATGAAGAGCAGCTCTTATAAATTGTATCATAGGTTGAGCAATTTCTATGTCAAAAGATGTTTAAATTGTTTTATTTTCCTCATTTCACAATTTTGAGTATCAAGTCCTTGTTCAATCGTAAATTTTTAAATTTCAACCTCAAAATATTACTTTAATAATAGGTTTTTTTTTTATTTTTT